GATCGACTGATTGCCTGTCTTGCTGTGTTTTAAGATATTGCGCACAAGAGAAAGTGTGTTAGTGATACATTGAATTACCGGGTGATTATCATAAACTTATTGAGACTGATTTGCGCATTGTTCTGCGCAGACGATCACGATTTGTGAGCGATTGAAATTTCTATGACCGGATACAAGACTATTTGCGTTTTATTTCTATAGACCGACCGATATCCGCCGTTTTAATGTCAAAACGGCCGAATAAATTCCGTATATCTACGTAGGTGTCGTAAATATTACGAGATTTACGCCTAATAAAATTTCCTAATGAATGCGACAAAAGACAAACTCCTTATTAATAAATGTATTAATCCTTTAACGTGGAATCGATTCAAAATTGTTAAAAATATTCCTCAAAAAGAAAAGTGACATTTTGAACATTTATATGTATATACATAAATCTTGACAATTAATATCTCTTATTAGTTGACTTTCTCCATTTATGAAAATTTATTTCCAGGCTTGTATTTGGACATCAATTATTTCTAATATTTATTCACCGACCAAAATTTATATAATCTTACATAATTTGCTACTAATTCTAGACCATCAACACAAGTTGCACAAGTCATAAAAAAAACCACTATAGATAAGAATATAAAAAGAAAAAAAAATGAATTGCTATGTGAATTATTAAATGGTTTTAGGTTTGATTACTGCTGAAAAAGTTATATAGATATATATAGGTACTTTTAATATGCATATTTCACGAGGTTAACTTCGTACTGTTATACTATAATTGATTAAGTAGATTATAAATTTTTGATTTTAAAAATTTCAAAGAAATTAATAAAAGTTAAAAAGGTGAAAATGACATCCTCATATATAAAATTTAAGTATAATTGCTATTACTTCTTATTGATACGCATTGTATTAATGTATTTATTACTTTTTATAATTGATTAATTGTATTATTCGCGTATTTGATAATCTTGAATTCATTAAAATATATTTTTTAGAATTCAAATAAATCAGATGTAATTAATAAATTCAAAAAATTTTTAATTTCGCTTGTGTCACACTTCAATGAATAAATTTGTACTTTTTAAGGGATCCGGTGATTTAAGGTTGCTTTTGTATCAAATTACTTCTTCAAGTCTTCAATTTAGATTTCATCAATCGAAAGAGTAAATAAATAGATTTACAACAAAATTAATTAATCTTAAAAATTTTCTCATTCTTTTTCTGAATTATATTATTTATTTCTCAATTATTTCTATGCTATTATATATTTTTTGCTCTAATCTTTATTTAATTATTTAACTATAAGAATAATAAAATAGACAACAACAACATTAAAAATCTCTTCTGATAATTCCAATTCTTATCACTCTTCAACAACAACAACAACACAACGTCATCATCATATTCAATCCCTAATAGAATTATTTGAAATACTAATTTCTTCGGAAAATAAAGAATATAATGATATTATTCGACAAAGTGATGCTGAAGAAAATGATATAGGCTTAGAACAAGAAATGCAACAAATAAATGAAGAATTCTCACAGGTAATAGAGAAGATTCAAAAAACAAATTAACACCTTGCACATTAATGAATATTGTTGATAGCAAGTGGTGCATATAGCAAAAAAAGATTACACGAATTAATAGGTCAATGTCAGATATTGTATGATTCATTTAGATTAGATGTATGTATGCCTCATTTCAACTTTGATCAAAAAATACATGTTAAAAAATCCAAATCACATAGTTATATTCAATTTCGTCAAAGTTTATTTTGTCTTCATAATCATCATTATTTTACAAGAGGAAAAGTCGAAACAGCATTCTTCTAATATTTTGAATAGAGTAATTAATTATTTGAAAATATTCATTTTTCTAATGATATTTATTTTCTTTGAATAGTCATATTGAGACAAGTGTATATAATTCTCAGGTAATATAACAAATAATACGTGAGTTACACATTTTGACCTTCCTCTCGTCCTCCAAAAGATTTAAAACCTTTACTGATTGGGCTTGGAACATGAATAAGTGTAGAATTGCAATTTTTATTAAAGTATAATGCTCATGTTCTTGGGCTAGTTGGCAGATAAATGTTAGAGATTTTGAAATTGGAATTAAAATACACATTTATAATTACAGATGATAAAAAACTTGAATTATAATCGTGATTTCCATATTATGTACAATTTTATTTTGTTACAAATTTGAAGCGCATAATCTTTTTTTACCACTATTTTGATGGTACAAACTTATATTGTATGTTACTGCAAACAAGTTTCATAAATAAACGGCGAGAATCAGCGAACTCCGAAAAGTCAAAATTTTTCAAGAGTGTAGTTTTATTTTTCCAATTAGAAATATCGTAGAACTATTAAAACCACCATCAATTACTGCGATCCTATTCCTATCAGGCACTGAGTAGTGACTATTCAGCTATCATTTACCAAATGAAATTATTATTTATTTTGGTGGATAAGACGAAACTGACACTCTTGTAATGAAAATGTATGTATTTTAAATATAAGCAAATGAATTATTCAAATTGTTTGTAAATATTAATATATCATTGTCAATTAGATTAAATTCTGATACAGAGAACTATGAATGGCATTTATGGTATTTGTTTAATATTACAGTATAACCTGCATAAAAGCATACTGCATATAAGCATAACCGCCTGTGAATAAAATTTTTATGGCCCGAGTTAGGCCATATAAGCTATAAGCATACGCCTAACGTGCATATGCATAAAAAAATTTTGATTATATAGTCGTATATAAGCATAATTACGTGTATCAGAATATGTAAAATTTATCATTTATTACTATTTTATCAATTGTCATTTATTTTTTTATTAATTATAAATTTATTCATTCTTCAGTTCATCTATTATTTTTTTGTTTTTCTATTTGTCTGTTTGTCCATTCTTCCATTCATTTATTTGTTCTTTTATTAATTTATTCACTATTCATCCATTCTTCATGTAAAAATATTATTTTATTTTATTAATAAAAAAAATACAACTTTCCTGTTATAAAAATTTTTTGTGACATCATTGACTTACACATGCATAACTTGTCTATATGTATTGGATTTTGCTGGCTTGACAGTATGCTTATATACAGATTCTACTGTATAAACAAATATAATATAATAACTTATCGATTCTATTTAATTCTAAGAATGTCACTGGTGATAATGTTGACACAAGATGGCTTTTTTTTTTTTTGCTTCTGTGTTAAGTAGGTATTTAAATTATTTGTTATTTCCGAAACATTAAAAAACTTTATTAAAGTAAAATTTTTTTTATATAGCACCAGATGACGTATTATTATATCCGGTGGTTTTACTTTAAATCTTTCTAGTGTCAACCTAAAGCTTGCTGTGTTAGATACAAACAAAAATACATATGAATGGTCGATTCCTAATAGTTCTAAAGTCGATTCTTCACTATTAGCTTCCAAAGCCAACCCTTGACCACCACCTATTTATGGACATACAACAAATTTATATTATAATTATATGATAATTAATCATTTTTCTATTGTAGTAATGACAGACTTTACCAAATTTTTTAGGATGCAACACAGAGGAGCAATTGTATAATTTTCGAGTGATATAACAAATGATACGTGGGTTACACGTTTTAGCCCACCTTTTTCTTCTAGCCCTTCCACAAAGTCCTGAAAATCTTTACAGATTGGGCTTGGGCTTGGAATAGGAATAGGTTTAGTGGTTTTAATATGTATTTCAATTTTTATTTTTTTATAAAAAGAGGAGTAGAAAGAATATAATTAATAGACATACCGATTCTTTAAATACATAGCTGAAAGCGATTAGCATGTGAATCTTTATATTTAAAAATATTGGTTCTTGCACATTTATATCAATAAATAATTAATAAATTAGCGGACTTATTGTGAGAAAGTATTTTTCGTTAATTAATCATGTAGGTATCAAAATGATTATGTACAATATTTCACATTCCTCATTATTGGAAATTTATTGTATATTGTTTCTTTTCTTAGCTACGTTATAATTACATACAAAAATCTCGATCTAATAATAATAATAACAAATATAATAATAGCAAAATAAAATCATATAATATAATAAAAATAACATAAAAAAAAGGAATAGGATTCCAGAGATGCAGTAAGAGAAATACAGTAAGTGCAGAATTTCCAACATATGATGATGGTGAAAAATATTTCAAAACGAAAAGCAATTATCCACCATTTTGTCCTCACGAAAATATAATTATAATTGGTATTGGAATAATAGAATAATTTCGGGAGAATTTTAGAATTAAAAAGATGATATGAATAATAAAGATGATGGTGCTTTGAAATTGTTTCTGATGTGGTTTTTAAAGAGTTGGAAAGAAGTTAATGAAAGATGACGTAGATGATATAGAAGCAATGAGTGCTGTTAATGTATTAATGTTTTGAAGAGAAATAAAGATTTATAATAAAATAATATTTAAATTATTAAACTAAAATATAAAATTAGCGTTATTAAATTAATTATTATAAAGTAATTAATATTTAATTAAAATCTTCCAAAAAGAAATACTTGAAAGAAAATTTAGCTATTTATATTTTATATTTAAATAAAATGTATTATTTATTCGTTTATAAAGTTTAATTTAATTATTAAATAATTTATTCAATCAAAATTTAAATTAATCTATATTTAATTTTCATTAAAAATGTGAACAATTATGCAAGTAATGCAAAAACTTGTTTCCCATTCATAAACTGTTTGAATAAATGTTATCTTATAAAATGAATTAAACTAATTTTAGTTCGAGAATATATCCAACTTATTCAATGCAACCTTATTTTTTAAAGAAATAAGTATTTTAAGATTTGATAGATATTATTTATTTTATTTTATTATTGTTGAATAGTTGAAAATTTAAAATCTTGCACTCTAAAATCTAATTAAATACCTTTAACACTTGGAACATATTTGAGAAATAGTATGATGGGCCTAAGAGTACTTCAAACAACTAAACTTTCTGTAAAGCTACTAAACTAAAAGTTACATAAATTTTCTTTTTTTTTTATCATATTTAATATATGTAGTTTTTCTCTTCGCAATGTTGAAAGTCGCAAAGATATATATTGAACACGCACCACATTTCAGGTGTAAAATAATTTGATTAACAAGTTTTTTGGAGCAGTTATAGTACCATGTAATATAATAGTAATCAATTACGTAATCGATTACGCAGGGCTACATTACAAATTCATTTACGCTCGACGGCACGCAGTGATGAGATTAAAATGCTTTCCCGATTGGTTGAGATAAATAAAACTTTCTATTGGGTATTAATGTCGCTAATATAAAAAAAATTAAATCAATTTGTAATCATTACATTTATTATTGTTGTATCAATGCATGTAAAACGGAATTTATTTAAAGAAATCGAAGAAATAAAAGAAACTAGAGAAACAGAAAAATCAGAAGAGTAGGCATGACTGTTATATTAAACGTTATTTTAAACCTGTGATTTACTGCTAATAATGTTTTCATATATTAAATTATATTTCTAATCAATCATAAACCAATCAATATAAATAGTTTGTGAGTATTTAGATTATAATTATTGAAATCAATTTAATTCAATTTAATTCAGTATCATATAAAAATTTTCTAATCAGTATCAATTATAAACTAATCAATACAAATAGTTAGTAATACAAATAGTTAGTGAGTATTTAGATTCACAATTATTGAAATCAATGTTTCAATTCAATTCAATATCATATAACGATTCTCTAACCAATCAATATAAATAGTCGGTGAGTATTTAAATTCATAATTATTGAAATCAATGTTTCAATTTAATTCCATATCATATAACAATTCACTAATTAATTATAACCAATCAATATAAATGGTTAGTAAGTATTTAGATTCATAATATTGAATCAATGTTTAAATTTAATTCAATATCATATAACAATTATCTAATCAATATAAATTACATTACAGCGGGTGAGTATTTAGATTCATAATTATTGAAATCGATGTTTCAAATTAATTCAATATTATATTGCAATTCTAATCAGTTATTAACTAATCAATATAAATTATATTACAGTACGTAAGTATTGAAGTCAATCTTTCAATTTAATTCAATATCGTATAACAAATCAATATAAATAGTTTGTGAGTATTTAGATTCATAATTATTGAAATCAATGTTTCAATTTAATTCAATATCATATAATTAATTATCAAAAATATTTTTTAGAGAGTGTAGTGAATGTCATCAAAAGAAAACTGGATACAAGTGTTGCCATTAATGTAATGCCAATATATTTCAAATTGAATTTGATAAATGGACAGTGAAGATAGAGAAATTGATAAATTTATTCAACAAATACAACTAAAGGCAAACAAAAGTCAAGAAATCATTGAGTGGATTCCATTTGACAGACTTAAAAATTCCACACACCTCGCTAAAGGATATACAAAGCAGAATGGCTTGATGGATTTATTATTTTTTGGAATGAAGAAGTAAAACAGGCATAGGCCTGTAGGGCAATATGTTTGCTTAAAAAGTTATGATAATTCCACAAATAAAATTGATTTTTTACAAGTGGTAAATATTTCATTATTTTAAATATATAATAATTTCAATAAACATTTTAGATTGAAAATCACTTAAGTTTCGAGGTAATAATTCAGTTGCAATATATGGTATCAATAAAAATCCAGAAAAAAATGAATATATGATGGTTATGAAGTATGCAAAATATGGTAGTCTTTGAAAACTGTTAAATAGCAAGTTTGAAGAATTAACTTGGAGAAGAAAATATAATATATTATTAACTATTGTTAAAGGACTTACAAATATTCATGAAATGGGCTTAATGCATAAAGATTTTCATTCTGGTAACGGTAATATAGTTAGTCAAAGTATGGCTTTATCTTATATTACTGATTTTAGACTTTGCAAACCAATTGCAGAAAATGTTACAGAAAAAATTTATGGTGTAATTCCATAAATTGACCTGAGACATTAAGTAAAGGAGAAATCGCTCAAGCATCTGACATTTATTCTTTTGGTATGGTTATGTTAGAAGTTCTAACTAGTTATCCATCATATTATAATATTCCACATAATGAAAATCTTGTAATGGGCATTTGTGAAGGTCTTAAACCTGAAATAAAATGTGAAATTCCTCAATTTCTCAAAGAAATAATGGAAAAATGTTGGAATTTTGAACCTCTTGATCGTCCAACTGCTGAAAAATTGAAATCTCAGCTTGAAAAATATCTTTCTGATGATGATTAAATAAGAAAACAAATAAATGAGTAAATTAAAGCAACAAATAAATCAAACAAAATTTTATTCAATATGATCCAAATGAATTGCATCTTGAAGTAATATATACAAGTAGACTT